TTGCATTAAAAATATAATAACATGTATTTTTTTGCATAAATAATCTATCAACATGCAATTTTTTGAACTAAAAATTTAACAATAGAAATTAAAAATATTTTTTGATTCCTCATGATAATAAAAAACTGGTCACAATTTTTTGGAAAATCACGATTTTTCAAAAAAATTAATCATGAATTAAAAAAAAAAAAAACGCAATTCTTTACAGACCCACCTAACATCAGTCATTTCAACTAAAAAGTCCACCTCAAATCGAATAAATTACATCAAATTGAATACATGTTTTGATAAACAACACTATAATGAATCAAAGCCCTATAATATTAGCACATTATTATCAAAATATTAAATAAAATCGATTGAATTGAGGAAAAAAAAAAAAAGGCAGTTCTTCACAGACATCAGTCATTCAAGCTCAAATTGAATGAATCAGATCAAATTGAATACATGTGATGATTAACGACAGTATAACAAATCAAAACCCTTTTAAATTTAACACATTATTTGTAAAATATTGAGTAAAATTGATAGAATGGCAGAAAAAAAAAAAAATTGCAGTCCATTTTTTCTTCACAGACATCAGTCTTTTTTTTCTAAAAAATCAAACTCAAATTGAATAAATAAAATCAAATTGAATACATATGATGATAAACAATACTATAACGAATCAAAACCCTATAAATTTAACACATTATTTGTAAAATATTGGGTGAAATTGATAGAATGGCGGAAAAAAAAAAAATGCAGTCCATTTTTTCTGTACAGACATCAGTCTTTTTTTCTCAAAAATCAAACTCAAATTGAATAAATAAAATCAAATTGAATACATGTGATGATAAACAACACTATAACAAATCAAAAGTCTATAAATTTAACATATTATTTGTAAAATATTAAGTGAATTTGATAAAATGGCGGGAAAAAAAAAAAAACGCAGTTCTTACCTATTTTTCATGCACCCATAGCTTCAAATTCAAATTTGATATGTATTCGTCCAAAATACTCACATATTGTGAACAAAAACTTCTGAACAACACTCTTACGATCAATAACCCTTAGATTTTACAAAAAATGCTGCCCTCTTTTGCTTGAAATCAAAGAAATGGTGGAACCCTAAAACGTTTTTAGGGTTATTCACAGATCCAAATTTTTTTATCAAAATCGATGATTTTTACTACCTTTTATTTACTGAAATGACTGAAAATTTTAAAATAAAGCCTGCAATATTTGATTATAAAGCTGAAAAAGATGAAAAATGATTAGAAAATGATAAAAAACCATGAAAATCGTGAAGAACACTGTGCAACCTGTGTTCTTGGACAAGTCACAGTTGAGACTCATCGATTCACTATTGGGAATCGCCCGGTTCTCTCTAGACACGGGCGATTCCCGATATTGTAGTGGAACCAGCATGGGGTCTGTCGATTTTCGAGTCGAACCGGACGAGTCCGGTTCGACTCGCCGAGTTTTCAAACCCTGCTTACAACTATCGGATGTGAAATTTGATAGTTTGGATGTCATAAAGTTCAAGAATTTTTTTTTTTGAGGTTTGAGCTTTGTCAATGAAATAATTACATCCACCCAATCTCACATCCAACGGTCAAAATTAATGAGACATAAATGGTCTCATTCTATGCTTTCCCCGTACTTTATGAGAATTACAAGAGAGAGACATAGATGTTCAATGGAAGGTGAAAGAGAGTGGAAGGGGTGATGAAGAGAGAGAGAGGGAGAGGGGCTACTTACATAAATGGTCTCATTCTATACTTTCCCTGTACTTTATGAGAATTACAAGAGAGAGACATAGATGTTCAATGGAAGGTGAAAGAGAGTAGAAAGGGTGATGAAGAGAGAGAGAGGGAGAGGGGCTACTTTCTAAGATTTAGATCGTGGTGTCAGTAAAAAAAGAAAAAGAATGAATATGGTAGTATAGATAATGAAAATGATAAGTCCGATTTAAACTAGGGGTGGCAATAAACTAGGGGTGGCAATGGACTCAGACCTGACCTGGGACCCATCGGGTATACCCAACACGGGTCCAGGTATGGTTCCAGTATTTGGACCCACAAGTAAGGTCTGGATCCTACAAAATGGACGCGGCAAATTTTGGATCCGGGTCCGGGTACTAGTGTACTTGTCCCTTACCCAACCCGGGACACGTTAGTACTTAAGAAAACCAAAAACCTATCGACTATGAAATCTGAACTGAAATCGACCCAGACCTGTGTGCTCCCATAAATCGCCAAAGAAACTAAAGCAGTTAAAAGCAGAAGAAGAGCAACCATAAACCATATAAAAGATAAGCTCATCACAATAAAGTCTTTTTCCCACAATAGGCATCAAATCAAGGAGATATGTTAAAATGTATTACGAAGAGGGAGAGCGGGAGAGGACAATTCCGAGTTTTAAACATATATTTTTTTAACTCGGAGGAGTTTCATAGGCTTTTTATAAAGGGTGCGGTTTGTATAGAGCCTAGGATCTATACAATCAAATTAGAGCCTACCTTCAAATAGTGTCAAAAAATGTAGTTTCAATATTGGAAATCTTTGTGATAGCCTTAAAATATATTTTCACATTTGTTTATAAAGTTTAAACCTTCAAAAATAGTGTAGATCGATAGATCGATGAAAAATTGAAAATCTTAAAAATTGACGGACCAAAAATTCATTACAAAATGCATTATTTCCAAACTTGTAATCCATTTTCTTTCCCTTGTCAATGCATCTTGATGTCGAGATGATCAATTTGAAGATATTTGGACATTAAAACAACCTCTTCTAGTGAAATTTTTGAGTTAGAATCATATTTGATTGTTTAGAGCCTCGGCTCTATATAAGCTTTTCCCTTTTATAAATGTATGGATTTATTTGAAATTATAATCACAAGAAAGAGGCACATGTCTTTCTCCCATGTTTAGTGCATTACTCAACAACCCCCCATGAAGCATGGGTATACACTTTTCCTTTCTATTCTTTTCTTTTGCTTTTTACAAAAATAAACACTTGTGTTCATTGCACTGATGAACCAATCCAAAAATAGAATCAGTACGCCATGCCCAACTTGGAAACTGTTAGTCACACAATGTTGTTATTTGTTTATAAAAACAAACCCACCACTATTTTCTGTTACATTAATTACTGGTAATTTTACAATTTAAGGTGTTAACCTTATGTAAACTTTTTCCTTTTATATTTCCCTTGAAGTAAATTTTGAGCGAAATATCCCACTAACCGAAGTCAATTTTACTCAAATTTAAATCCCAAACTACGATGCATTGGTCAAGTTCTGCTCTTTTCTTGGTGTATTTGGGACAGTCTAAATGTACAAGGTTTTGTTCACTATGAAAATTCTTCGATGTCTCACTGTAAATTTCTTTGGACTATGAAGTGAGAATTTATTTGATTTTAGTACCACATAATGGGTATGTGAGAAATATGCACCTCACGAATATCACACACAAAAAAAAAAAAACTAAACTGTTGAGGAAAGTGTATATTGTTTACTGTGTTCTTATGGAAAGTGTAGATTATAATCAATATGTTTGGGAAGAGTAGGTGCACTATCATATAAGTGTTAGTGTGGTATAAGTTTTCATGATTTATTTATGTTCCTGCCATTTATTATAGAAAGGTCGTATATTCAAGAGATAGTGAAGAATGTAAGAGAGTTTTTAATTAAAAAGGATCCAGTTAGCATACGGATGCATCCATAGCTGTAGAGGTAAGGTGCACCTTCAAATTTTATCATGGTATATAATTTTAATGTAAAATATTTTTAAGATTATCGTAAAATCTATTTTTATATCTAATCATAAAATTTAAATTTTAACAAATGATTAAAATCAAGTAGATATATAAACATATGAAAATCTGGAAAATGGAAGGTGTAGATAATATGTTGTAAAATGCACTATTTCTGATACTTAAAATCTTTTTATTTTTCATGGTCATACAACTCGATGTCGAGATGATCAATCAAAGGGTTTTTCAACATTAAAACTATCTTTTCAGATGGATTTTTGAGGTGCATCCATAGTTCTTCTACAAATAAGGTTGCAACTTTATATAAACTTTTTCCTTAGTTAAAAGACTCTATCACTAACGAATATATAAGAATTGGAACATAAGAAAATGTTCAAATGGTGTTGTTTTTTGGGTTAAGCAATAAATTTCTCATATTTCCTATTCAATTTTTTTAAGGTTTTAACTCCTTACCATTTGTTGCATTTTTGGTTTCCCAATGTTTGTTCCAGATTTTTCCATGCAGACTATATTTTGAAAAATTATGCGCAATTCTTTACTAAGGGAATTTGCAATTCTTTACCAAGGGAATTAGCCTCCAAAAACATCCTAGTTGCTATAGCATGCGAACAAAATGATCTATCGATGACTTCATGCGTGTATCCACATTTCATAATTAGGACTTACTGATTCTCTGGATTTTCCAAAAAAGACCACCATATGCATGCAGTTACATATAATTATATATAGCAGTTACATATATAGCACAGCCGTGGAGATTCATTGTATTATGCCATGGACACCAACTAATAGAGTAAAACAAAAAAACCAAACAGCCACTGTAGGAATATACGAACATAGTTTAAGAGCCAAAAAATTCATCATACCAAACCATCTGTAAATACCAGAGCTATGGAGAGTCACAGGATGCTCCACAAAGCAAACCTATTACAAGCTGCTAAGATGGTTAGTCTCTAGTTTTCCGGCCATCTTTGGCTGATACCTTAGCAGGATTCCGAGTAGAACTCATTCATCGCGACTCTCCACGTTCCCGTTTTATGACCCGAATGCCACTCGCTCTGACCGACAGAGTGGGGAATGCCATCCTCCGATCACAATCCCACATCCGCCACCTACAATGGCTAAAATCTGGCAGCGTTGGGGAATTCTCTCCGTTGGGTGTCAAATCTACCGTTACAGCTGAGCAGGGAGAATAGTTCATGGAGATGGACCCCACCTTTGTTATTAGAGTTGTTCATGGACACTGGGAGTGACATAATTTGGACCCAATGCTTACCGTGTGTGAAATGTTTCAAGCAGCTGGATCCAAAATTCAAACCCATGAAATCGTCCACATACCGCGTATTCTACTGCGCCGAAGCCCCCTGCAGGGCTGTAAACTCGGGTTGCACCGGGACATGTAAATACAGAGTCGATTATGTGGATAAGTCATACTCATCGGGTAACTTTGCATCTGAAACCGAAACAACAAAAGAAAAGTTCTACACTAGAGAAAATATTAGCACTTCTAGTATTATCACAAATGACAATGGATTCGTTAATATTAAAGATTTGTGGTTTGGATGTGGCTATGAAAACAAATCTACGTTTGAGGAAGAGGGATCTGGGATGGTAGGCCTCGGAGCGGGGCCGGCCTGCTTCCCTTCCCTCATCAGTCAATTAGGTGGAACATTTGGCAAAAAATTCTCATATTTCCTCACCTTTAAAGACACCAGCCCATTGATTTTGGGGAACTTAACCCCAAATCGACTCCAATCAAGCGCCATGCCAAATTTTAGGACTTTTCATATACTGGATCTTGAGGACATCAGTGTTGGGGAGAAGCGCCTCGGCATCCCACCAGGAACCTTTGATCCGTTGGACCCGAAGAAGAGTTTCACCATAGATTCCGGTGCCGTAATGACTTACTTGCCAGCAGTGGCTTACAATAAGTTGGTTTCTAGTTTGGATGATTCTATTTCACTTCCTCGGACTTATGATCCTACTCAACCGAATCAAGTTTGCTACCTCCTCAAAAATGAGGAGGATTTTGATGAGATTCCAAATGTTACATTTCACTGAAAATGCAGACTGGATCACAGTCCCAAAAGTTCTATTTGTGCTTGTGGATGAAGATGAAAAGGTGACTTGTTTACCGGTGGATCGATTATGTGATTTTTGGTACTTACTTGCAACGTGACATGTTCGTGGAGCATGACCTTGGGCAAGAAAGGCTCTTCTTTGCTCCCACCATTGTGAGTAGATCTAGGATTTGTTAATTGGGTGTGTTGGTAATTATTGTGCCATATTATTACTTTGTTATCTCCACATAAATATCAGCTATGTGCTTGTGGAGTACTATTATAGTGAAATTTAATAAGAATACACCTGATTTATTTAGCTAATCTCTCTCTTCAGAGTTCACTCATCTTTCATGCGGCTTGAATATCTTCCATGGCTTTATTTATCTGTAATTCACGTCCTTCATGACATACTCGTAATAGCGGCTTTTGGAGGCATTGTGATGAATGGATTTTCCGACGTTTTGATGCATGCCGGTGAGATGAGACGGATTATGAAATTAAGAAAAATAAAAATCGGTCGAGAGAATATACACAATTGTGATTTTAATATTATTTTATTTAAATAATGAATTATACCGACTAAATTTTATAGAATTGATGGAATCGTTACAATAATAATGACAACGAGGTTATTATAGTGAATGATATTATTATTTTATTTTTTGTCATGGAAACATTTACGAAAAAAGATACCAAAATCATGTGAGATATAATAATTGCTCTAATAAATAACTAAGGAAAATAGATAGGTGAGAGCTATGAAAGAAAAGAACAAACCATATTATCTCTCTAAGGTTCACTGCTTACTTGATCCTTGGTGGGTCTTTTTTTATGTGTTGTCCAAAAGAGGAGAACTCAATGATTATTCGTTAGCCGGAATCAGAAGTGAAAATTGTGGTGGATAGGGATCCCATAAAAACTTCTTTCGAGGAATGGACCAAACCTGGCCATTTTTCCCCAATACTACCACTTGGGTCTGGAACCTATAGTCTTTTTGGATAAACTAACTAATTACTACAATTTTCTTTAGCGTTATTTTCCCATCTTGTTTGTAATAGTTTATTATTAAAAAAAAAAATATATCTATTGGTATTATTATTAATTTATATGCATAGTTTTTTCAAATTACGGTTTTTTATGAAAATCTGGACAAATATTATATTTACTTTTATAAAAAAGAAGTCGCAATTACTCTTGTTTTTAAGATTTCAAATCCAATAATTGTGAGCATGTTATTGACTAGACTCAAAGTTCCAAAAAGAATTTTTCGAAGTTTGTAACACCCCAAGCTATTCAATTTGACATATGATATTTAGAAGTAATTGTAACCTACTTGTATGAATGATAAATGGCCTCATCATATACTATCCCTATTGAAAAACTAAAGTTAGAAACAAATGTAAAAATTTAAGATAATCAGGAATGGTTTTCCATGACGCAAAAACATTGCCCCAATCATACATTTTGATATTTTGCTGTCCTTATGCATATGTTACAAATTACAGCACATAAAAACGTGCATATTTATATCATCATTATTAGCCGCTTATTAATTCTCATACTTTGGGGATGAATAGAAATTTAAAGGTAGTGATTATTATTTTGTACTGAAATAAAAAAATCTCCTAAAATATTTAGAGATGCAGCTAATTGTAATTAAATAAGTAAAACAAGGCGAATTGCAACCAAATAATCTTTGTAGTACCAGTTATAGATACAATGAAACTATTTACTTTTAATACAAAAAAGTTACAATTATTTATAATCATCTTATATGAAATCTTGTAGCTTGGGTGTGTCACATAGTTTGAAAACATTTCTTTTGAATTTTGCGCATGGTCAATGTAATAAATGTAGCTACCTAATTTCATGTCTAGCTCTGCACTAAAGGTAAATAGCCTTATTATGTATTTTTCCTATATAAAATATTGAGGCCTCTTTAGATGATGGTCAATTTTATGGGGAGAATATCTTGTGTAGAATTAAGACATCCGGCATGCTATTATTTTTCCAGTTGGATAGACGGTTATGCTCATCTCATTCCCTAGACAATACCTTTGGACCACATGAAGTTACCCTGAGTAAAGTAAAAATAAATTTTCAAAATGATAAACTTATATGTGACTATATTTGTCTCGAATAATTTATGGTTAACACTACCAAACAACAGATAAATCATTATCAGATTAGTTTTGTTGAAATAGACAATTATCCGTGATAATGAATTACTACAATTCGCTCGAGCAAATGACATATCCTTCCCCAAGTCATACGCCACTAGAAAAAAAGCCCTGGCTTAACTGGTTAGCGCTTGACCATTTACAAAGCTACCTCCTAGACTCAATTCTTACTACTTACGCAGCCAACAAACAAAAAAAAAAAAAAAATTAATTAATGAAGAAGTCATACTCCACGTGATGCCCTTCCCACCACGTAGAACATCTACACTCTCATCACAGCACCTCCCACCTCTTTTTGAAAAAGGTGCGGTTTGTATAGAGCCTAAGCTCTAAACAATCAAATTAGAGCCTACCTTCAAATAGGGTCGAGAAAAGTAGTTTCAATACTAAAAATCTTTAAGATAGCCTTAAAATATATTTTTATATTTATTCATAAAGTTTAAAGCTTAAAAAATGGTGTAGATCGATAGATCTATGAACACTTGAAAATCTTGAAAAATGACAGTCCAAAAATGCATTACATAATACACTATTTCCAAAATTTGAAATCTATTTTTTTTCTCATGCCCATGCATTTTGATATCAAGATGATCAATTTGAAGATATTTGGGCATCACTAGTTTTGATGTAAGCTCAAATTTTTTCAGCTAGTTCGTACTTATATTATTATATTATGTATAATATTTTTATGTGGTTGTTTGGATTGACAGTATGCTCATCTCCTTCCCTAGACAAATACCTTACCACCACATGAAGTTACACTGAGTAAAGTAAAAATAATTTTTGAAAATGATAAACTTATATGTGACTATGTTTGTCTCGAATAATTTATGCTTGACACTACCAAACAATAGATAAATCATTATCATATTAGTTTTCTTGAAACAGAAGAACATTTGATGGGTTGGATCGCATTTGTACAAATATGTGGTCCATTAGTATAAAGCATTCATCTTAAAAATGGATGCAAATAGGTGGTCCAACTAAAAACAATTGTAACTAATCGTTTAAATGTTTGCTTAATATAATTATTATTTTTAATTTTTAAAATTTATTTATTTTTATATTCATGATTTCATTATATATTTTCTAAAAATTAAGATCAAATTATATTTAAAAAATATATTTATTGCCAAGCCCGCATTTCTGCATGTGCGGGCTTGGCCTGCATGCTAACCGCGTCATAATCCGTGATAATGAGTCGAAAGAAAATGAAAATAGTAATAAGCCTCACCAAAATAAAACATCTACACCATCATAACAGAACCTCCTCCTCTTCTCAAAAAAAAAAAAAAACCAAACTCTCTATTCTTATTATCTCACCTATGTTTGTCTCATAGGTGTTTTATTTATATTTTGGTTGGGGGTATTTGCATAGAAAATTTATTTTTGAGAAAAAAAAAGTAAGAGAAAAAGTTAAGTTGGGGATAAATTGCATAATAACTGTAGTCTTGAGAGGTTTTTTGTATTTTTCCCTAAACTAAAACTTTCCTTAAAAAAATATATAGACTACGACTCTATCCCATGCTTACCGTAAAGATAAGTTCCTTTACTAAAAAACACTAGTACCCAAATAAAATGATTTATCCTTCTACTAAAAGATATTTTTTTGATAAAAAGGACTTTATCAACTAATCCCTAAAAATCTTATAATAAATAAAAATAAAAAGACTACCCAATTTTTAAAAATAAAAATAATAAAAATTCAAATTAAAATTTGTAGAAACCAAATTTTAATATGCATCAGATCCGAATTCTTCACTATGCTCCCACAAGCAAAGAGAGAAAAAGGAAATACCCACAAAAAAAACCTCTCTCTCCACGCTCTCAAAGATCGTTTCTTTTTATTCACCAAAAATCAATCTCCCCTTACAATTCATGTGAATCCCTTATATAAAGGGTTCTATCTTTCTAAAAATAGACTTGCTAGAAAAATAAAAAATCTTATTTTTTAACAATTAGCCTTGATAAAAAAAAACGTAAAAATTCTACCTACACCTTTAAAAATTTTAAAAAAAACAAAAATAAAATGAAAAATTTGTATCAAGCAGATTTTGATCTGCATCATTTATTTTATTTCAATTTCACATAATGGGTATGTTAGAAATATGCACCATATGAATAAACAAAAAATATATTTTGACGGTTGAGAAAAGTGTATATTGTTTACTGTATGTCGTGTATTTCGTGGTAAGTATTAGTATAGTATAGATGATCGTGATTTCTTTCTATTCCTACTATTTATTGGATGTATATACATAGAAGTTATATATTGTAGAGATAGTGAAGAATAGAGGAGAGTTTTTACTTAAAAGACTCTATCAGTAACGAATATATAAGAATTAAAACATGAGAAAATGTTCACTTAGTGTCTTTTTTTGGGTTACGGAATAAATTTCTCCTATTTCCGTTTAAATTTTTTGAAGGTTTTAATTCTTACCATTTGTTTAATTATTTGTTTCCCAATGTATTTTTCCTGATTTTTCTCTGGAGACTATATTTTGAAAAATAATGTGCAATTCTTTATTAACGGATTAAGCACTTGTATTTTGTGCCTATCTCTTGTGAACACATGGGAATCAGGTCTTCTTCTTCCATTTGAAGTGTTGCAATGGCTTGAATACTTGAATGAATGGCAGATTGTCTAATTTCCAGATCGTCAAATTTACAAAACTCCAAGTTAACACAGTTTTCCCAAATCTCATGAATTCTAAATGGATTAATTAAGCATGGTATTTAACATTACCAGATACTCAAAGTTCACCCTTTCAAATTTCTGGATTAGAAATTTCTAATTCTGATTCTAACATCCAATTGA